TGGACTACCAGAAACAAGACCATTGTTTCTCCACAAATGGATACAGATTTAATTTGCATGCGATGCTAATGAAATTTTCTGACATTGGTACAAAAATACGTATTTTTCATACAATTTTCGTATAATTTGTTGCACACTAATCATTTGATTAATGGTTGCGAAGGAAGTGCCGGGCTTATGGTGGGACCTGGGGCAGTTTTTTCCCACCCCCATCAAACTTCAACATTGTTATACTTTTTGGCCTCTTCCGTCAAATTTCAACATTGATAAAATTCTTGGACCCCCCTGTCAAGATCCGCCCCTGATAAATAAAATGAATTTCATATTTCCACCTGTTTGTTTTAAAACCTCTGTTCATGCAAAATTATTTATTTTTTGCTTATTATTCTTTTAATTTTTTGGCTTTAAATATTTTTAAGGTTCTCTATGCGTTTGTTTTTTAAATATATAAGTTTGCTTTCGAATAACCTGATTTATTTATCTAAAATAGAAAATCCAAATGAGTGAATAAAGAACATAAATAAAATCGTTTTAATGAGACGAGTCATTTCATTGTTTAGTGGTGTCTTTTTAATTCAGTCATTTATTGTTGTGTTACAAATTTGGCTACATTTTAGAATTGAACACAAATAAAAGGAATAATATACCTTTTAAGAAATTTTTAATATTGCAATTGTTTCTGCATTTATTTCAATTTCAACAGCTTTTTTATTGGTAGTTTCTTTAAAAACATAAGATAATAAGAAATAGGTACCAAAAGTTATCTTAAAAAATAAAAATATTAAAAAATGAAACATTTAGGACGATCGAATAAATTAAAAAATTTAGAATTAACATGTAAAACAGTAACAATATTTAATTGAATTGTTGAGACGTCAATTCAGTTGACTTTCAAACTCTAGAGAACTGCCCACTAAGAGAGTATAGCAATTTGAAAAGATGCTGATAAAAAAGTGAATACTTAAACGTAATAATATTTAATTATTATTGGCAGATGAATTATTTGCTTTTCTTTAGAATAAATGTTCTGTCCTTAGTGAATTTTTTATGGTGGATCATATTTCTGCGCCACTGATTATAATTTCGAGGTGCTATATAGGTAGGGAAGGGTAAGTCAAGTTGGTAGCAAGCAGTCCAGTACGGTGGATGTAGTTAGTTGCCCATCCAAAATTTTTTATTCTTGAAAAGTGAACACTCAACCCTGCTCAAATTTGGCATGGTTGGCAAATAAATTTAAAAAAAGCGTCAAATAATGCAGTTGTTTTTTATTCATTGACATGTGCGATGACACACAATGATGTAATCTTCAAAACCGTCATTTTCATTCAGAAAAGTCAAGTTACTCACATTAATAAAACGTATATTATCAAAATTCTTTCTTAATTTTCGAAATTTCAGTCCAGATTTGTCGCATGCTAAAAACTATCTTGTATTTTATTGGTTGCATGTTGCAAGAGATGAAAATTCAATGCAAGCTTCTGAGCTCAAGTTTGTTCTTATAATGATGTGCCTTTTGATTCTCCTATTAAGAAGTGCAACGAACAGTGCAGTGTCCTGTCATTAGTGATGGAAAGCAAAGTAATTTGTTGATGTAAGTCATAGTAAGACTAATATAGCTTGTAAAAGTATGTTAGTGATGACTTTTCAGAAGGAAAATTTTGTTAACATTGCACAATAAAATTTTACTCGTGTATTTAATTATATATTTTTTACTCTAAATTTTTAAGAAAATTATAAAATTTCTCCGACACAAAAACAGCTTTTTGAACAAATGTTTTTTTAAAAAAAAAACAAATAGTTTAAAAATGACGAAAACAATTTTCCCATCGGGCGAGTCTCTCATGATTCGAATGTCAGAAATATTTCCTCGCTCCTTCTAGTAGCTGACAGTTGTAAAGTTTGAAAACATTGGTGCTCTGCGAATTCTTTCGCAGTTTAAAAACAATAGCAAGCCGTGTTGATGATCACTTTTATATGATTTATTTTGAAAACGTTGAAATACATAACTTGTTAAGTTGAATAGTGGCTCGTATTTTCAGTAAAAATATCCTCCGATTGTTATAAAGAAAATTATTAATTTTTTTTCGATGCACAATATGGATAATAATTGAAATTGTTTCAAGCAGCTGAATTATGTTCACTGTTGATTTCGTATAGCACTAGCATCGTACACGAGCTAACTACGCCTATAAGATTTAAGTATTATATTCTTTATTCTTAACATAACAAACAAGTGCCTTTGTAAACTTAAGCCCAACTTTCAAAACTAATTTGCGGTTCAACAATTGTATTATCAGTTATAAAATGTTTCATACTGTTTAACATTTCAAATATACACATAGAATAGTTGAAATGAACCAACATAACAAAGAAGAAATTAAAGAAAAAATGAAATAATAAATGTTTTGCGACCACGTGATGTGAGGTAATTGCATTGCTCATTTTCCAGCACATCCCATTATCCCTTTCTTTTCTTTGCCTTTGCTCGAAGATTTCATTTCCTGGAAAATTTTCTTCTTTCTCTGATGTTTTTAAATTTGATTTTCAACTCGTTTGAGAATGCATTATTGCGTTTTTACCTTTATAAATTTATAGATGAATTATTTTTAGATCCAAAACAAAAATTCAAAATAATTAAAATGGTTATAAAAAATCTTTAAATTATTACCACTATGTTTTTACAAACTGTGAAACCTTACCAAGAGATTAACGAAAAAACATGTCGTGATGTTTTGGTTTATTTGGTTTTTTTTATAGTTTATTTGAAACATGAAGAGTTGGAGCGTTAAAAAATTTATATTCAGCTCGTTTAAATGTCGATCCAAATTAATGTCGCCATGACCGAACATTATTTATTGATATCGCAAAGATTTTTTCGCTATAAACTTTTAAAATCAGTAGCCTCGCGAAACTGAAAAATATTATTTATGAGATGGCGCATGAATATTTATTGGTGCAGTAATTATACCCAATGACTGTTTTTCATTGTGTTGTTTCCTCTTCATCATTATACAACTTCTATATAAGCAGATTCATCATTTTTATATTGCATGTCATGTAAGATTTTTTTTCTTCTTGTATTGATAATTTGTTTGCTATGCCTCTTTAGAAATTGCCATTGTGTGTGTGGAGGAGCCGATAAGTTGATGATATTGCTCATTGTACTTTCCTTGTCCTATTATGACAAACATTTCAAATTTCGTTTTCATTTGTATAAAATGTTTTTCTCTGTTGCCATGTTTGTTAAGGTGCATGTTTGGTTTGTTGTCGAATGTTTTGTTGATGTTTGTATTGTCGTTCAATGTTTTGCTGTTGGTGTCTGTTTCGGTGTCCTGTCTTTTGATGTTGATTTGATTTTTTTCCACTCATTTTTGCGTTCATTTTTGTTGCTACGCTTTTTGTTGTAACGTCTTTTGAAGTTGCATGCTTTTTTGTTGCCATGGAGAGGCGAGCGTACCGACATGATCGTTTATGTTTTGTATATGGCGCCAGAGGGAAAGGTGATTTAATAGAATCGTTTCTCCTTCTTCTACGCTCATTATTTCGTGCGCAAACGCAAACAAATGCACACAACACTCTGCAAACACAATCTGCGTAAAATGAAATCTCCAAGACATCTTTTTATTTATTCTTGAAGTGCTGCACTTATAAACATACATCCGTTATATAACTCACAAAAAGGTTCATTCCTGCAAATTTGTATATTAAAAAATGAATTGATAGAGCAGATGAACGGAAAAATAAAGAGGAAGAGAAAGAGAGGAAGAAAAGAAAGAGAGAGAGAGAGGAAAGAATTACAAAGAAAAATGTAAAAAGAGTCTGATATATATATTTGTGTGAGTTAGACAAATCGTTTCACTTTTTTAAAATTTAAAAAAAGATAATTGTGATGTTGAATCACAATCAACGAACTGCAAGACTGTAAAATTTTTTCTGGATATTCCAACAAAAAATATTTTTCCAAATTTTTTTTTATATTTTATGTGAAAAACATGACTGAGAAAGTTGTTTGTGTTTGTATGCTTGGTGGACGTTTGTCTGAAATGTTCTTCTTATATATGGTTAATGTTTATAAGTTTATAAGCCGTCATTTTCGGCTACATTTGATTTAGTTCTTTTATTTTTTTCTCATTAAGCTAACTCAGCTAAATTTGATTTAATATATTTTGATTTTCATTGATATCATATATTTGTTGTCACTTATTAAGCTTTCTTGTTTGGAAATATTTTTACGAAATGTTGCGCGGTCAGGTTTGCATGCTGTTCCGTCACAGGCAGTAAACATTTTTGTTGCAGTTGGCATAAAATTAGAAAAAAAATTAAACTCTTTCTTACCTTTTTAAAATTAAACATCGTTAAATTCAGTTTCTTTTATACGTTTTATATACCTTTTTAAAATTAAACATCGTTAAATTCAGTTTCTTTTATACGTTTTATATTATACGGATGCACTTCTAAACTTGAATATTTAGAAACCATTTGAAAATTATAGATGAAACTCATATTGTTATAGGAACATATGTTGTTTTCTAATTGAAAATTATTGATTCATTTTGCAAATAATGGAGTGATTACTTGAACATTGAAATTTCTTTATATTTCCTCTCCTAAACTGATCAGTTATAAAAAATGGAGCGTTTTAAATATTTTTTTATAGATTAAAAAGTGCGTAAACATTAATTAATAAACGCCGTGCATTGTGAACTGTAAGAATCTTGCGCAGTGAAAGCGTGAATATACTGATGAATGTATCACGACGCACTTCAGAAGCGCGTTTATAAAAGAGTATGAATGTTTACTTCGCACACGCCTATTTAATTGCAAAATATCTGAAACGGTAAAACAACAAACCACAAAGACGTGTGTGCATGTGCAACTACTGCAGGCACAAATAAACACACAGACGCTTCATATTGGTTTCAGAACATTTAGGAACAATAACAAACGATTTAGCGCTAACCTTGTCTCGTTTTTCGCTTGTTATGCCTTCCACCACGAGTATGCTGGTGTTGTTGTTGGTGGTGCTGTTGTTGGTGGTGGTGTTGTTGGTGGTGGTGTTGGTGTTGTTGGTGTCCTTTGGTTCGCTTCTTCTACATTCATTCCGTTTTATTTTAAGCACGTTGTCATCATGTCTTTTCCATCATTTACTTACCTTATTGGTTCCTTGCTCGTCTGAATCTACTGGCAAATTAAATTAATAACTTAATCAAACAGGTTACACACTTATTTATAAATGCGAAAGTTTTAATTCTGTACTTAAGTGCAATTTTTTATGCTAAAAAATTTTCTTAAATCATAACATGTAATGTAAAAAAAGTTTAAAAATTTAACTTTCATATATCCACACGACCGGCTGACCATTGAGTGACCGACCAGATAGCTTACTAACAATATCATTGAATAACAACAATTAGCTGACGGTCATTAAGATTTAGTCAGAATATCATTTTGACTAGCATGTCCCGTTTAATTTTGATTTTAATTCCTTCAACAAACCCATGAAAGTTTTATTTTAATCAGATAATTTTACGATCAGCTCACGCTTTGAATACAATTTCACCAGCAGTAACAGTTCTACTCTAAATTTTGCTATAACACTATTGATGTTCTTTTCTATGCATTCGAAAAAGCGAGAAGCTCGATTTTTACAAACCAGACACACTTAATCTTTATTAATAATATATATGTTTAAAGCTCATAGATCACAATGAATCAAACTGGACAATGAAGTAATAAATTATTTTGTCTACAGTGTGTAGTCTGTTTGTCTTCGAGAGCAACCATGAAGACTTACCCTTGTGGACACAGGGTGGTCTGCAGGAAATGTTTCGTGAAGACCATCCAAACGGCGGTTTCCGAAAGATGTTTGCCTCTCAAATGTGTTGTGTGCAGAGCCAAGATACTCAAATTAAAACAGGTTTGCCAACTTTAAAGCTCCACAACTAATAACTCCAACATCGTAAACAAAATTCACAATAAAACAAAAACAAACACTAAAACTGGATAAACAGGTTGATCCAAAACACGACGACGATCGAAAGCCACGCAAACATTACCACTTGCACCAGCATCAGCAAACCTTGCAACAATGTTGCAACAACCCAGGCAACAATCATTACTACAACAGAAGATCTGTCTACAGTCTGCCCTCTCCATACCAAACGATCGCTCTTGCCACACGCAAGTCTCGCCACAGATTCCCCGGAGACACCTCGCATTCAACTTCGTCCGCCATATTTGTTGCCACAACACCAGTTCTCTTGACTTACAACAATAATGACAGCAACATCGGCGGTAGCAACATCAACAATAACGCAACAAATTTTACGAGCGCAGTTGATGAGACGAGCAACGAGAACGCTGGCAACGGTTATGTTTGCGGTGGCTTGGCAAGTTCTGCATCTAGCAGGAGTCACAGCTACGTTAACCACCATAACAAATCTAACGGCGTACCAAGCAACGCATGTAAAGCGCCCAACAACAAAACATCAACCAGCCATAAACTACAACAACATTCCGTAGACCACCAAAACAATAACTCAACAAGCAGCGCAGCAAGCAACAATAACAGTTCTTATAGCATTGGCAACGGACACTGCAACGGTGGTTATCAAAGTTCATCTTCGACTAGCATTTCTTCAATAACCAAAACAACATCAGCAACAACATCCAATATAACCACGATTAGCAAATACACAAAAGGAAATGCTGCGAAACAGAATAACACGCCATCCAACGGCAACTTCAACAGCGTTCAACAGCGACAGAAACACCAGCCACATCACTCACAGCATCAACAGTTAATTAAAATCCCTCCTCCTCCTCCCGTGCACAAGAGAAGATCTGGCGAGAAGAGATCATTATCGTCATCCTCGACCACAATCACGTCGTCATATTTCGCCGCCACAACTCCAGATTTCAACAACAATTTTAACGGCAATGATAATTTCTGCAAGGATGCAAGCAGTGGCAGCGTTTTAGCTCAACATCAACTAATGCTGGCCATAAATCATCACTCTAATCCTGCTTCCAGACTCATTCATTGTGTTGTCAGCGATGTAAATAACAATAACGCCAACAATAATAGCAACGCTAACAACCTCAACAGCAACAACAGCAATGACATCATCAACAACGGCATCAGCAACAACACCAACAACAACAACAGCAACAGCAGCATTATAACAACGAAGAACAACGTTCAATCGAGAGATAATGTGATTAACAGTATTAACACTTTCAACGACTTGACTGACAACAATCGAAAATCGGCAAGCAACATAACCAACCACAACTACAGTTACACTATTAATTTGAGTAATTTTCCTCTTACTCTCAACAACAACAATAACATTAATAATAACAATAATGCCAACAATAATAAAATGATGAATAGCGATGCTTATAATTTCAAGAAATGCAACTTATGCCAGCAACAGGTCATGTCTAATGGAAAGAACAACAACGCTCACTTTCAACGATGCCCTCATACAAACATGAATAACAACAACAACAACATTAATAACAATAATAGTTCAAACGCCAACAAGGCACCAGCTCATAGCAGACTGTTGCAACATCAGCTGGTGTACCCTGCTGAATCGGCTCCCTCCACAGCGAAGCATCTCAGTAAGATTAATGGATGGGCTGATGTCTGTGACAACATTAGCAACAACATCAACAACAGTAACGTCAACAACAACAACAACAACAGCAATTACTATACCAGCAACAACAACGCACTTTTTTCCACTCCTCCGTCAACGTTTAAAATATTCTCCGTTGGAAAACGAAAACCGAAAGCTATGAATTAAATTAGTTTATTAAATTTTTAAAACTTAACTTATTTATTTATCAAAGAAAGACGTTGAATAAGATAGAAAGAGTTTCGACTTTTACTAAAAATATGTTGAGAACCTACGTAACATCGTAGGACATCCTGTGGAGACCTGTTTGTTAACTTGATTGATCACTGTTCTAGGGTTATGGAGAAACTTTCAGTTCCCTTTCTTACTTCATCTAAGGCCGGTTGGTCGGTTGAAGCGGCTTGACACATCATCAGCTGAAGGCTTCGTTTGGTTCGGAGTTCGAGTTGTAGTAATTTCTAATGTAATATTTTTAAAGATTGAATATTTTTAAATAAATCATCAGCTGTAGAATTGTCAAGTGTAGAATAATTTTAAAATTTAGTTGTGTTCGTTTCAATATAGTTTTTGTAGATTCATTGGAAATCCATTTTCGTTCCCTAAATTATTATGTATATATGTCCATACATAGCATTACTTGTTCCAGAATTTTAATTTATACCCCTTGCATAAACACTTTATTTGTCATATTTTCCAGATTTTTGTATTGAATTTTTCAAATTATTTTAAACAAACGAGTGAAATAACAATGAGGCGGGCGGCAACTTGTATCAGTGACCATATCATTTTTTGCAATCATTCATGACATGGAATTATAAATTCTTTTAATTACCATGTTTCGTCACGTGAGGTTCGCATCTTACAATCAACTGCCAAAGTTATTAAGTTTTTATTTATAAAGTTATTTAATATGAAAATAAAACTTAGAAAACGTGAGAGCTTAAAACCGACCTCCCTCCCTTTTTACTCTCAACCATATCTACACTTCAATATTTACACTTCAATATTCCTATTGATATTTGTTAATATTTAACTTGATATAAAACTTTTCGACCAATTGACATTTTTTTTATAATTGAACAATTTTTTTCCACTTATGTTCTAGTTAGATAGAGATGCGTATTTGGCCATGATTATATCGTCCAGTATTTTATATTTATAAACTTATAATATATATATATATATTTATATATATCAATATATATATTAATATGTATATATATATATATGTATATTTATGTATATATATGTTGGAAGGAGACCGTATTTTATACAGTATTGTATAAATTCTTCCCAATTGTAGGCATTAATCAATTTAAAGTTTGTCTTTTCAGTTTTCCTTAATAGAATTTTTGGGGCATTGCTAAATTTGTTGAAAATAGAATTATCCAAGTTCATCATGAGAATTTAATAGAACTGTTGTTATCCAAATTCATCATGCAGTTAAGCCCTTATTTCGATTTTTCATCAACCATCTTCAGTAAAAACCTGTACTGAAGATGATTTGTAAAAAATTGAATTAAGGCCTTATCTGCATGATGAAAACAGTTTTATTAATATTTCATGATGAACTCGGATAATTCGATTTTTAACAAATTTAACAATTTTCAAAAACTTCAAGTAAGGAAAATTAAAAAGACAAACTTTAAATTGATTAATGCCAACAATTCGGTAGAATATTCCTAAAATATTATATATATACATTATATATATATATATGTATGTATATATATATATATATATATATATATACATGTATGAATTTTACTGAATTGTTGGTATTAATCAATTTAAAGTTTGTCTTTTCTATTTTCATTACTTGAAGTTTTTGGAAATTGTTCAATTATAATTCTACTTTCAATTAATTGAACAATAATTGAAAATAGAATTTTAATTAAAGAATTTCCAAAAATTCTAGTAAGGAATATTACAAAGACGAACTTTAAATTGATTATCCCAACAATTCATACAATTATACAATACTGTAAAAGATATGGTCTCTTCCAACCTTCCAACATATATATATATATATATATATATATATATATATATATATATATATATATATATATATTTACAATATTCTATAAATTCTACCGAATGTTTGGCGTTAATATTATAGAATTTATAGAATATTGTAAAAATTATGGTCTATTACCAACACATATATATATATATATATATATATATATATATATACTTTTGTAACAATGTTTTAATTTACGTCTGTATATCATCATATCACTCACGAGCTACAGTAACACACTCACGCGCGCACACATACACAACACACAAACAAATAAACACTTACATACACTCACACATATACACAACACACACCCACACATACACAATTATGCATATTTTCTCCTGATGTTTTATTAAACTTTTCGTGGTACAATCACAATTCACAATAGCAATAATAAAATCACTATTTATAATCTCTGATGACGATGATTATATTCATAAAAATTTATTGTATGATTTTTCAAATTGATTTAAGTTTGTTATGAAAATTATTTGACATTGACGCTTCTTATTTCAATTAAATGTTTCCTAGGTTGTACTTTTAAATTTGTTCCATCCTGACCATCCAACTCTTCCATCACCAACTCGTTCCGTCATTTCATATTTCATAATTTCGCGGCGTGGATTAATTTATTTTGCAGTAGAATTATTTTAGACACACACACACACACACCCATTTTGTTAATATTTTTATCTATTTAATTCATTCATAGTTTAGTATTGATATGTGTCAGTTGACTACTATTCCATAGAAATAATTTTAATTTATGCATAACTTTATACTGTATTTTCTTCTGTTTTTCAATTATATATAAATGTACAGTACACACATGCATATGTTACACGCAGAATGTCTGAGTCGGAGGAAATATAGTCGGTTCCTCAAAAAAAATCTGACTCCGGGCCTTCAAAAATTTCCGACTCCTGCCAAAATCTCCGACTCAGACATTCTTGTTACCCGTTCACTTATATTCGAGTGCAGTGGCGGATCTAGACAAATTTGACTGAGGGGCCAAAAAGTTGAAAATTTTATGTAAAGTATAAGTAGAGTTGTAGTGTAGTTGTTCGTCCAGCGTAGGGTACACGATGTTTTAACAACAAAGTCAAATGCAGAAATTATTTTCCCAATCTTTCATTTTTAATCAGCACAAATTATGCGGACCAACTCTGAAGAAAAGCATGGGGATATTGTAAGGCGTATACCATTGTATAAGTTCTACTACAGCCCTGAGGTGCGACAAAAGATACTAAATTAAGCTAAGATTATTTGTTTAAATTGTTTCAACCTTGTCCATAATTCACAACCGTCCTTCATTTTTCAAAGTAATTCTGATAATTTTTTGAAAAATTAAGATGAAGTTTTTCAAAAAAACGATATTACAAATATTATAGCTACTATTTTCAATAAGTTAAAGTAATGCTTTAAAATTAATTGTTTAAAATTTTTCAGCCAATTTAAAATATTGATTTACGCGGTTTTCTTTCAAACCGTTATCTGAGAAGTCAACACGCGCGTTAATAAATTTAATAAATTGGCAAACGTTGATTTAAGCACTTTATTTTTATTAGTTTCATGCTCATATCTTTATTTCGAACAGACATCCAAATAACATTTGCCATACACAAACGGATATCCACTCATTAAGTCAAACATGATCGTTCGTGTAAGAACCATGCCTACCTCAAATTGAGTGCGCATATTTCGTCATCTAAGCTGAAATTAACAAACAGGAAACACAAACTGGCATTAAATGTTATTGTTATCTGATAATTATAGGAAACTAATTCTAATGGTGAATCATAAATGTATTTATTTATTCGTTTTTTCTGTTTAGTGACCAGAATTTTGTTGGACTGAAGTTAGCAAAAATTTTGTTAAAATGTTAGTTACAACATCTTGCGACGTTATTTTTTAATTTTCAATCATGAATGAATTGTGGAAATTACAATATTCGTAATAGATCGATTATGTAAGTATCGTTAGTTCAGTATTATGTAACATTTTTTTATTAGCGACAAACACGTGCGCCAAAAAATGCACTCGCCCCTTAAACAAACCAGCACAAAGATTAAAACTTATGAAATATATATAGCTATACGATTTGTTTTTATATATAATATATATATTAAGCATTTTAAGCATATATATTTTTAACTATTCAAAACAGAACGATCAAGGATTTCATATTTATTTAAGAGCATACGCGCAACACCAACGGCGGGTTTTGAAGCTGAAGACCTCCACAATGGAAATTTGGTCAAAGTTTAAAATATCAAAATCCAATTTTTGCTACAAATTTTTTCAGCTCGACACCCTCTTCCAACAGATTAAAATGGCTAATTTTAATTAAAAAGACCTACTTATTTTTACAGAAACATTGTAAAATGTGTGGAATAGGCAAAACATTTTTTCAACATTTTTTAAAAATTCAAGCCCCCTCTCTGTTGGAGAACTTATCAAATTTATCATGCAGCGTTGCATTAAAAAATCATCAATTAAATCTCTCATAGTTTAAAAACAGTAAAACTTTGTTAAAAATTGTTGGGTTACAAGCATGTATTTTTATCTAATTGGATAAAAGAATGTTTGGCCAGACCAAATATTTGGCCAAAGTTTGACCTTCGCCTTCAGCCATTTTTAAAGGTCTAAGGCCAGGTGGTCGAAGAGTGCAATTTTCGTTTGAACATTTACTTTCTGGGATTCCAGAACATTAATTGTTGTTAACGAAATATTTATTTGGCCATCGTACCTGCTAAAACATCTCTAATTTGAACCACAGATGAATATTATATACGATTAAGAATTGTTGGATGAACATGTATCATGTATTGCCTACTTTTTTCAGTGATTTTTTTTCATTCTAAGGAATAAAATTAATTTTATAATTTCGGGTTTTTTGAAAATAAACTATTCGGCCATTCGGTTTTCGGTCAAATTCACTATTCGGTGCATCTCTCCTACGTAGAACAGCTAAAACTGTTTAACTTGTCGGATTGAAGAAAATTTGACATAAACAAACGGTGCATCTTTAACTTGATTATTGATCAATTGCTAATTTTTACACATATTTGAAATATGTAATGCATAAAATGTATTTGATTGTGGAACAAAATAACAAACAAATTAATGTCGTCATTACGGCTGCGCGTATCGGTTATAAAAAAATTAACAAAGAAGCGCAAGAGAATGTTGCATGTTAGGTTAACGTTGACCCCTTGGATTCTAAACGTTAGGAAGTCACCCTTTCAGTTGGTTTTTTTTAGTTTAGAGAACATTTCGGCATAAGAGTAGAGAGTCTGCTTTGAAGAGTTGGTATTATATGTATATATATATCTATTTAATTATTGTAAAAATTATGGTCTATTACCAACATATATACATATACATATATATATATATATATATATATATATATATATATATATATATATATGTGTGTGTGTGTGTGTGTGTGTTGGTAATAGACCATATTTTTTACAATATTCTATAAATTCTACCGAATGTTTGGCGTTAATATGTTTGTAGTTTGACTAAGACGTTCAGCGTTGTTTATTGATATCATGAGTTTTTCTATCTCGATGATTTTCTCAATTTTGTTGGGTTTGTTCAAATAGTGGCAATTTAATATATATATATATATATATATATATATATATATATATATATATATAGATGCAGTTGTTTAAAAATATCACAGCATTGCTTGAGTGGTTCAACTTGCAATTGAGTCTTTTTGTTTTTCGTACATCGAATTTCAGTTCATTAACTGAACAAACTGATGATGGACTGAAATTCGTCGTACAAAAAATTGAACAACTCATACTATATAATATTATTTTACTCATATTCATATGACATGATTATGTAAATTTGTAAAACGTGTGTGATGAATATAATCTAAAATATTTGTTAAAAGCAAATTCACGGTTTTCTAATTTTTGGACCAGCAGTTACAACGGCATCAGTTCAACTATCAAGCTTAAATAAATTTTGCAGCCTAAAAATTGAATTTTTCATGGATAAAACCTAAAGTAACTACGGATGAAGTATGTGTTGTTATAACTATAGCTCACTCTAAAGGAAAATCATTCTTTAAAAAAAACTAACATTTTCAATTATAATTAATTTAATTCTATATAACCAAAATTATTGAGGGCAAAGCGTGAGAAGGCCCGTCACTGATAATGGTCAATGATCATTACAACTCATATGACAACAGGCAATAAAACTAAATATGCTGAAGTATTATGCAAATCCATAAAATAAAAACAGTTGAAAATAATCCTAATAAATGAAAATTATTAATACACTCTAAGTATATATATATATTTATACGATAATTGGCCCAGACGGTTGAATTATAAAGCCTCGCGCGGCTTTTATGCTATGGCCCAGAATTAATTGTCATTATTAACTCAGTATAAATTAAGTTTAAAGAAAGAAAAAATTTTTTAAGCCTAACGTCATTTTTTATACATTTTGATTCTTCATGAATGTTCCTGTCAAAATATTTTAATCTATTGATTTTTTAAGTCTTTACAACTAACTTAATGGAACTTTTACGAAGCCAAACCTCACATAGCAATTTTGCTGTTTTTAAACTTTGTCTTATATAAAATCCTTGAATACATTTGGTGAAAATTTAATCAAACTGAGGATTATTTTAGTCATTAGATAGCACTAAAAGTTATATATATATATATAATATATACATATACATGTATAATAAATATATATATATATATATATATATATATATATATAGGTTTACATATTAGAAAATTATTTTGTCTTGAAATGTTTTAGCTCTTGTTGGTTATGTTATTTTACAAAATCATTATAGAAAACATATCTCGTAAAGTTACAAACTTGTTTATTTATTAGAAAATTATTATATTATTTATGAAAACGTTACTAGAAATAAAGATGGAAATGTTTGTCTCATTTTGCTTCTTAATTACTGGTGCGTATAATAACAGTGAAATAACAATAGAGTAACAATAATGAATACACATGATTGTTGGTGGGGTAACTCGTGAACATGATCACAAAGTGAAATTCCTGTAATTTCTAATCCATCTACCTTAAAAATTTTTAAGGTTTGAAAATATTTTTTCACAAAAATGTCTGGAAATTGCTCTCTACCACGTTTAAACATTTTTTCCATAGTAGATCGAATGCTTTATTTTGTTAAAAAAATTAACTCTGATACTTTTACTTCTTGTCTACTGATATAAAAAATAAAAAACAAAAATTTTTAATTGAAGTATTTCGATTATCCATTACACAAAACAAAAAATTATTGAAAAAATTGCTGAAAACATTGTCTCTAATGTAATTTTTGCAGCGAGTAATTTCAGAAAAATTAACCAAATAATTTTATTTTGCATTTTTATCGGTTTTTAAAAGTTTAAAAATATAGGTTTTTATATCTCGTGTTTTGTACTTCGGCAAAAAACCTTGTGTTTTTTTGGCATATCTTTCAATGAACATACGCAGTCTTTCAATGAGAATACGCAGTCTCCATCCATAGAATGCTTCCGACAACCACGTTTGCTTGGATGTATCGAATGATTTTGAGACAAACACACTTTGCGACCTCTTGCGCACTCGTTTGTTCATTCAAGAATTGATTAAAGCAAAATTGTTTTTTCTGTTGCATGCCTAACAAAAACATTGCAAATCTGTAGTCAATTGAAATCGGGCTGCAAAATTGGTGTTTGATGGTTTAAGATAGGCAAGTTAGCTCAATCGGTAGAAGTGCCATGACTTGTGCGATTACGGGATAGCTCGGTTCGAATACGGTCTATCCGGAAATCAAAGACGACATGCGTGTATGATGCGGTGCTTGCGCATCGCGTGCAATGCAATATAATGTTTGTTGGTCGTGTGGTGTGCAAAGTTTAGTTTTTGTGGCACGAAAATTTTAAAGCGTTCATGAGGACTTGAATGGGCGCTATATAAACTCTACGTATAATAAAATATGATTATGCCAAGAAAATTTTTTTTAGTGTAAAAATGTATTGAGAAAAGGGCTTTTATATATTATTAATATATGTTCTTAATATATGTTCACCCAAAATATTGATAATTTAGTTATAGCCTTAAACTTATAGCCATATACTTAAGCATGCTCCAGGCATGCTATGATACTTTATTAAACCCTAACTGAAAGTGTAGCAGGTTCATTCATGAATGTTATTCATAGACTAGCACAAATTTTGACGTCAACGCTGTTTCCGCTTTGGGCGGCGTGAAGGCTTATTGGTTAAGGTCGCCTGGTGCGGTTTCGCAGTAACCAGGTTCGAATATAACATAAAGATCCCCGCCTATCACATGTTTCTTGTGTGATGTGTCGTTTAACATGTATTCATATACGATGTGTGTGGCATATCGGTGAATCCTCTGAATTTTGAAAGAGTGTAATTCACCATTTTTTAACATTTTAGCATTTTAGCAAAAAAATGAAAAGCACGTTTATTTTTAAAATTCTACAGTTTGCCTTCTAATATTAATGGCTTGCGTTGTAAATGTTCAAAAACTTTTTAGTTTTGAAACAATGGTTTTCGCTTTCCATAGCTTAACGTCAATAACTGTCGAGCCTCGTTCGATGAAAGTATAAAAGCGAAACTGCGAGTGAGCTCGTCGGTACTTCAGTTTCGGCGCGTTGGTCGTCTCTTCGTTCAAGGTTGATAGTTTCATTTTTATTGTTTAGCGGATATTTTCAAATTTCTAGTTGCTTCATTTCTAGGTGCTTTGTTATTTAGTTTGAATCAGCAAACATGAAAGAAGTTCCGAAAAGTACGAAAGCTGAATTGCGTGCGGTTCTGTTGACGAACGTCGATGGCCTGCCGATTAAGAAACTCATGCTTAAATTCTTCCAAATGCACAACAAAACTCTCGACTTTCAGGAGCTCGGCTTCTGCTCCATTCATGAATTTTTATCTGCTCTTCCTGATGTCGCCAAGTCAGATTTATTTTATTTTATATTTATTTTATAATTTATAATATATTTTAAATATTATAATAAATTAAAATTATTCATTGTTTTATTTATTTTTTTAATAATATTATTAATTAAGTTAATTTAAATAATTAAAAATTTTTTTTATCTATTTTATAAAATGATTAAATCATATGGTTTTGAAAATTATATCATTAACTTTGGCTTAGCGGTTAAGGTCATCTGGTTCTGTTTAGCAGTGCGTGAAGTGACCGGACTCGAAATGGATAAAAATAATAATAATAAAATAAAAATAAATTTATACTATATTAGCAATTTTAGTATAAAATTTTGACTTTTTATTCAAAATTTGTTTCCTTTTATTTAATGTAATTTAAATTTTCAATGTCAGTTCAAATTTCTAAGTTTTGCTTTTGTTAATGATGTTGTTTGGATATAAATTTATTAAAAGTTCTCATCTAGCAATTCAAAAATGGAAAATTTTCTTGAAATAATAAACTAAAAAATTTTTCACTGTGAATCAAATCACATTAAAAGTTAGTTAATTGATGATTTGGAGATTTACTTATGACTCATTTTAATTTTTTAAATTATTTTAGAATCATAAAGTTTGCCAGTGGTGATGTTGTAGTGTACGGGATCCCACTAAACGATAAATTGAATGTGACAGTTCAGAAGGCTAAGCAAAGCTTGATGAAGTACACAAACCCGGATGTGGCTTCGAATGAAAATACCATTTCCTTCAACGGTGATTATCAACCTGATTTGGATAAACATAAACAAAGTAAAAATATGAGACATTTTCAAGAAAAGAAACCATCAAATAATACTTCAGATGATTATGGTTAGTTCTTTTTTTATTTTAATTACTTGTTATTTCAATTTGATGCTCTCTGTTACCTATGATGCTTAGGAGAGAGAGAGAGAGAGGGAGAGAGAGAAAGAAAGGGAGAGAGAGAGAGAAGGAAGGGTTGAAATTTCTCTTCTTCTTCTTGTTACTTTGTTAGTCTTATCTAGGATTGATTATTGTAACTCGCTCTACTATGGTCTTCCTGACTCTACTCTATCCTTTAAGTAAAGCTTTTAACTCTGCTGCTCGTCTAGTTGCTCGTGCCCCTTTCTTTTCTCATATATCTCTATATCTTGTTCTCTTGCACTGGCTACCTATAAAATATAGAATAATTTTTAAAATTTGCACGTTCATGTATAAGTCTCAATCTAAATTATTATTTCCTAAGTATTTATCAGATATATCAATTGAACCTAAACGTCCCGGTTTACGATCGTCTTCTTCTTCTCGCTTTTTCTTAACTCGTGTTAAACACTTTTTTGCCAAATCTGCTTTTGCTTTTTCTGGTCCTTTTCTCTGGAACTCTCTACCTACTTCTCTGACTACTTCTCCATCACTTGCGAAGCTCAGAGCGGATCTCAAGACCCATCTGTTTTCAAAATTTATTGAGGAGCACTGTTGAACATCGCAGAAATAGCGCTTTATAAGCTAATTGATTGATTGATTGAATATGATTGTTGTTGCGTTGCATTGGTGGATGGTGGAAATAGTGATGTAACTGTTAAAAATTTGCTGGGCAGTTGAGTTTTAAAGGCTAGAAGAGGAAGATTTATTATTATTTGTAGTAGTAGTGGTAGTAATAGTAGTGGTAATTGTAATATTTTTTACCACTAAATAAAATATTGTTGAAAGCTTGAAGTAATTAGTGAAAAATTGAAGACTAGGATAGGATTAGACAGAGGAGATATAATAATGAAAATGGATCTTGAAGTGTTGGTGTATGTTCATTTAATTAAAACTGAGCTGCTGGCTGGCATCACCTGGCCTTCAAATTGCAATATCGGATGGGTCGATCAGATTTGGAGTTGTTGAGTTTTTTTTTTCGTTTGTTTCCTTTTTACCATTTAAAAATCAAACTCTGAAGAATTTTGAGATCTGTGCAATGTACAAGGAATGCTACAGCAAAAAATTATAGAACAAGAATCAAATAATATGGTGATGATTGATGATAATGATTATGGCAATGAGTATGAATGGTGGTAATAGTGATGGTATTGATGGTGGTGGTGATGGTGATGAATTATAATGATGATGATTATGTGTTGAAATATATTTTTTTCAGTGACCATATATATAGGAAATATCCCTCGAAGCATAGATAAAGTAATTATTTATTGTTTTAATTTTAATAATAAAACATTTTTTAATTTCAAATCTAAATGTTTTATTTTGTAGCAAATTTCATATTAATTTTCATTTCAATTTCTGTATAATATTAGAGTTAGGGTCATTTTTTGGATGTAAAACATTTAAGATCGCAATTAGAGGAATTTGTTTTCATTGGATGTTTGTTATGCTTTCGATTCAAATCTTTTCCAATTGTTCAAAGGTTTCGAGATTACCTACTTACATTTTGGCAGCTGAATATTTTTTTTATTCTCAGCTTAACTGCTGTCAGCTGCTGTACAATCAATCATTCTTCTGATAATTCTCCAACTTTTGCATTTTTAACACTGGCCTCAAAATGATTTTTAGTTGATTATGCTTCTACTGTTCTCCTTCCTAAAAATATCTTCAAAAAATTTATCTTTAAAAAGCTGTTTTTGCATTCTGTTCTATTTTAAATTCATCAACCTAGATTTCTTTCTTGTGTCCTTCTTTTAAATGTACAGTTCTATCATACCTCTCATGAAATTGTTTAACCGACAAACTGAATGTTTAGTGGATGGTTTCAATGTTTACAAATTGAAATTCTTATGAGTGCAATATGGAAGAGATATCGAAAATCATTAAAGAGGAGAGGAAATAGTTATGAATGTGAGCTTCAAGGTGGTGCAGTCTGTTTGCCCGCTAGATTTGTTTCTTTTATCCAATTAGATGAAAATACATGCTTGTAACCCAACAATTTTTAACAAAGTTTTACTGTTTTTAAACTATGAGAGATTTAATTGATGACTTTTTAATGCAACGCTGCATGATAAATTTGATAAGTTCTCCAACAGAGAGGAGGTGCTGATGAATGTGCGCTGAGTTAAAATATGCACTGCTGACATGCTTGTCTTCAAAATTGTTTACTTATAGTTTAACTTTTGAAGTTCAGAAGTAAATTATTTGGTCAAAACCATTTACTGGATAATTTTCATCAATTATGTTTGAGGTCATTTTTAATTTCTATGCAAAGTATTTTTTAAAGTCTTTTTTTGTATAAAAAGTTTTTGTTATTTTTGTCACATTTTGATATGAAACTTCGTTTCTTGGTGACATATTCAGTATCGGATATATAGCAATTCATACAAGCTTAGCAACATAGTATCTGTGGACTTGTCTTGAACAATTATTAATTATATTATATATAATTATTAACTGTGGCTCTAAATATACATGGTTATAAGCAGAGCAAGCATTAAATGTGTTTATCACTTTTATTATTATCTTAAGTTTTTTTCATAATTTATTTACTATTTTTTTGCATTCAAATCAGATGTAGCAGAAATAATAATAATTACGCAAAGTTCATGCTGGCATGCTTGTGAAACAAACCCATGCATCGCCTGCACATTCGCATGCATGTTTGAAGGGTGTCTCTGCAGTCGAACCACGTCGCTGCGTGCCCTCCAATCCAGTGCTTCTTTCTTTAAACCATCGCATCACCTACTTTTTTTCTCAAAATAAATAATTTTATGTTGTAGTTGTTATTTGAGTTTAACTATCTGGTCGGTGAAATGCTTTGATGTAATTATTTCTAATTTTTTTTGAATCAATTTACATTCCAGACAGCATTATCTCAACATTTCAGGAATTACACTTTTAGAAATCTCAAAAAGTTACCTGACAGGTAAGATTTTAAATATTAATACGAAATAATAGCCTTAATGTTAATGTTAACCTCTGTTAATTCGTTGCATTGTTCCCCCAAAAAAATGATGGCCCTGTAAAGTTCATACTCCAGTGCATGTAGTGTTTTGAATGGAGAGAGAGAGTACTTGCTCTGCATGGAATGAGATGCAGTTATAGAAGGGAAATGTAACAAATTGCTATTCCACTTATAAAAAAGATGAGTGACGGACTTTCATTTTGAGATGGGCTGATGACAATCAGGGATGCTCGCTGTTGGTCAGCAAAATTGAAAAAATTTTGGGTATGACAAGAGAGAAGGCGAGATGAATTGTGTGTGTGGAAATGAAATGTTAATTTGCTTTGTAAATTGAAATAAAACAACCAAGTTAATACGATTTGATACGAATTTAAGTGTTTGAAAGAAATGTTAATTCTTATCTTATGAGAAGGGATTGTAAATTATGAGATCAGATAGTTGTCATTCATTTGAGGTCTAAAAATTTTTGAATAGAATGAAGTAAAAGATAGTTATCAAGGAAACAGTTGTGTTTTTTTTTGGATGAAGTTAAGTTGAAAAGTTATGAGTAAGCTGTAAATGAAAAACAGATGAGAAACTTTGAAGAGAGTAGTCGATCCAGAAGTTTTCAGATTTTATAATTACGTTGTTGCTGCTGATGATGATGAGGGTGATGTCGACAGTGTGGATTTCAATAATGATATAAAGTTTTTAATGACGATAACTTTTCATTTCAGAAACATTGGATTCATTGACTTATTATTATCTGAGAAGAAAGGCTTCGTGAAGGATCGATCGGTCAGGTACATTGCTGGTCACCAACTGAATTTCTGCATCAATCACAGGTCCATCTTTGAGGACGAGGAAAATGCTGCTAAGGACAACACCAATCGTGGCGACATAAAACCGCTGATGGGGGGTCTTCACAATTATAAAGAAAAACATCAAAATACAAACTATAAACAGAAACCGGAAAGTAACTCTTTAAGAAACTGCAAAAATGATTCGACGGTAAACGACGAAAGAAATGTTAGGAGGATTGCAAATGGTAAAACGTTGCTCAATCAAATGAACTCCATGTTTATACAGGATGTCGGTGATGATGACACGGAGGAGGATGAAGACGATGACGCCTTTCATCATTCCAATATGAATAAGTCAGCTGGCAATAAAAACATTAAAGAGAACGTTAAATCCGACAATGATACCGCCCCCACGAACGTTAATAACAACAGGCGCTATGCCAACAATGAGCACTCTGCAAGCCATGCAAATGCCAACAACAGCACCACTAAGGGTACTGTTGATGATGACGATTATTATTCTAACAAAGATGAGTATGATGATGATGAGTATGATGATAATAATAATAATAATAATAATAATAATAACAACAATAATCGTTACAGCTTGGTCAGCAACAATAATGAAAAAGGCAAATGCAAAATCTCTACCGACAATAATAATAATAACAACAATAATAACAATAATAATAATAATAACAACAATGACAGTAATAATTGTTACAGCATGGTCAGCAACAATAATGAAAAAGGTGAATGCAAAATCTCTACCGACAATAATAATAATAATAATAATAAAAAGAATGTTCATAACAAGTACCGACAAAATACTGAATTGACAAGAATAAAAAAAAAAGATCACAAACCAGTCAGAGTTGATGTTACTCGAGGAGAACGTCGTCCTGATATCAATAATAGTGGTGATGATAGTGGTAATAATGGTGATGATGATGATAGTGAAAAATCAAATACGGAGTTAATTATTCCATTATCAATGACGAAACCGATGATGAAATTGATGTATTACGACATCTGTGATAACATGTTCCACAAGTCTCCACTGCATTACTGGCCGAGCTACCAGTGCATCAAAGTCTTCGTCACCCACATCGAGGAAGAAGATCCTTCATTTTTTTGGGGTATTGTCTATGAACCTTTTGTAAGTGTAATTTATTTTTGTTGTACTGTTTCATGCAAAACAGTGAGACAAGAACATCTGGTATAGCATACTTTAAAATTTAAACATTTGAAGAGATAATTAAATTATGTAGCTTAATGCCAGTGCAGAGAATGTTATCTTTATGGGTTGGTGAGGTGTTAGGTTAACTACAAGTTTCCAAACATTTGATTAATTTAATGGCATGGATGGTTTGATTTTTTGTTGAAAATTTAAAAAAAATCAAAGATCACCAAATTATTTGCTCCTCTAATCTGGACTCGCTTATACTTCGTTGTTTGCTTTATACTTTGCCAACTTGTTTTTAAATGATTGTTTTTAGTAAATATAATGTTCTTTTTATTTGGAATTTTAATAATCTATCTGTTATTACTTTTTAAAATTGCAATTGATTTCATTTGAATTGTATATGCAATTTTCGGTTGGAGATGTTGGCTGTCATTCATTGTTATGTTGTGGTTGGAGAGTATTGAACAATATTAAGCTCATTTTTATTGGATGACCATTTCAGAACTCGAACATAAATGATGCCTGGTCCATTGACGAACTAAGTGACCAGTTTGTGAAGTTTAATTACGAGAGCAGGCGGGCTGTTACATATTATGACACTTACTTCTGCAGGTTTTATATTTTTCAACATTTTATTTCTATTGTTGACGTTTTAAAAGTTTAATTTTATTTTTTAAAAGAATTTTTTATTTCAGATCGGTTGTATTTCATTTATTTATTTTTTTATTGCATATAATTCCCACGACCCATGTCTATAAAAATATCGTTAGTCACTTCAGAATTTTTCGTAATTTTGATTTGCTTGTTTTTCATTTGTTTTGATCAACTCTTCATAGAGTGTCACTGTAAGTGTGTAAGTAAACCAATTTTAACTTACACATTACAATGTTTCATGAATTCATTGGAATGTTGTTTTGTTATCCTTCAAATTTTATTACTAAACATAAATAATTTTCAATTAACCTTTTTGCTAGATTTTATGGATCTTTTTTTATCATCATTTTGAATTTTAATGCCTATGTTTTTAATTATTCTCTCTGTAGCTTGATGGTCTTGAGATTTTTCTTTTTGTAAAGTATACTTACGCTACACACATGACATTTAAAAGTCATCTACCAACTTGATCAATCTTTTATTCTTCTACGCCATGTTATATGTTAGAGTGTCAGAAATTTCTTGTTACGACATTACGTAAGAAGATAATTTTGTATTTGTTTATTCAAGAGCCTGGATTAAATCCTTAGATAGATATTGTGCTGACTTGCATTACGTGGACTTCGGCAGTAATGAGAAGGTTCCACTATCCAACCTTTACACACCACCTCATCACGTCTGGAACATACCTCCCATCTCACAACCATTCAAACTTACTGGTAGGTAGCTTTTTTCATTTTTTGTTTCATTTATTAAATTAAAATTACTAATAATATAAAAGTGCTGCGATATGGATACAGTCATGATGTTATCTTTTTTTTTAAATTTATCAATATTTTATTTTATAGCTATCAATACTGATTGTTAATTGTTACTCTCGTTGATTCATCATTTTACGTATTGTTATTTTTAATAATGAATCATTCTACACGAAGAGATCTGTTAGAAACATTTACGTTCAACTAAATATTAATAATAATAAAATAAATTCTGCATTTGCCAGTTTACTCGTAACATTTTAATTTAATGTTCGCCAGGTGATGCATCAAACTTTGATTTGAAGCCGCACTTGAACAGCAGGGTGGTTTGTTACATGGCACAAAAAGATGAAAGACTGGTGAGTCAATTATTATTATTAGATTATTAGATTATTTACAATTAATTAACATTATATGTTGAGTAAAGTAAAAATAAATTGTTTATTTATTTTTATTTTGTTTTATTGCAGGAATACGTGAATATGATTTCTGGGATAGAATCAATATAATTATACATAAAACTTTAGTTGATTAATTATGTTCCATTTTTATTTTTTGAAACTTTTTAAATAAAATGCTTTAACAAATTTGTTGAATTTTGTTATCTAAACGAATAGTTCCGGATTACAATGTCCACCTGAAAGGAATGGTGACATCGCAAAAATGTTATATTCAGCTTGAGTATGCATTTAAACAAAGGTGTGTCAGGTTCCCTAGTAGTCTAATGGTTAGGATTCGGCGCTCTCACCGCCGCGGTCGGGGTTCGATTCCCCGCTAGGGAGAACATTTTTGATTGTTTTTTTTAAGTTTGTCAGTAGTAAAGAGTTGCATGAATGTTGAGAGAGTTAACTTTTTATTAAACAAAACAATGAAATCATTTCGGTGGTTCAATGCTGCTTCCATCTGAACCGCCATGTATCGTCGGTCGTAGTAATTTAATTTTCTTTAGACCGCGTTACTCGATCCCTTCGTTGCACTTGGTACAAAATTATTTAAAGACCGACATTATTACAACTACCTTAAACTTTGTCACCATTTGATCTTCACATAAAAACTTATTTTAATGCGAAATTTTTAAACGAATTGTGGAAATATAAGACCAACTTTTGCAATTCGAAATTTACCTTAAACATCAACATCCATGGTGAAGTGTTCCAGTTTAAAGTTTCTTACTACCTTTAGCTACGCCTCCGCAGGCCATTTTTGAGCATGGATAATTTCAAATTTACTGTGGTAACGCTCACATTTTAACGCCAAATTTCTCACGTTCTTCTTTGTTTGGCCAGTGTGCCGAGTCCGATAAAAAATTTTCGACTTCCGGAAAAATTTTTTAAGTTTTAAATCAAAATTTTACTTAAATTTCATTACTAAATGAAAGGTACTTTAAAAATCAAATAAAATCAGTCATGGTAATTGTTATTCTCAGTGAAATTATTTTATATTTATTATGTTTTAAGTCATGCTAAAAGAAAATTACGTGATTCTATTCACGTTATTAGCATTTTTTTAGTATTGAAGATGATGGCAAAAACGCACCATCTTGAATAATATTTTTAATGACAAAATAGAAAAGTCTAATTCTCAACGCTTTTCGGAATTTTTTAAGGATTCGGAGTGAATCCTCAAAGATTCTAACTCCAGGAAAAATCTCCGACTCTGGTTTCGTCGTCCTATGTTAGATGGTACAATTTTTAAGAAAAGAGGGAACTAATAACAGGACGTCCTCATAGCAATGGAGCTAACAATAATGTGTGGTGATTATTGGCCAGTTCATTATATTAATATTTAATTATACATGGGCCAGTTGGCCTGCAAGAGAGCAATGTGTCATCAAGTTAGAATCATTTACATATAATCATTAGTAACAACAGCCACTACATTTTTTAATGAAGTTAATCTCTTGTGTAAAAACATTTGAAAATCGTTCAGAACTTATCAAAATAGTTAAAAGTCATAATTTTTTCACTAATAATTGAAAATTAAGCATACAATTGTTTTTCTTTAAACTTAAATAAAACAATCAGTTTGACTTGAAATGAAAATTGAGGTAGCTAGATGTAGCAGGAATGAAAGGTTATCGTAAATTGACAATGAAAAAAATACAAATGTGTTATTATAATGTAGATGTTGGTCTAACATGATTTTAATTTCTTATACCAAGTGGTATACTCAGAATACTGAAAATCTCTGCGAAAGTTAGAAAATGCCGTTGAATGTTTGAAGATATGTTGGCAGAATTCATCATCGTATGATTTACCAGACGCCAAGGAACATAACATGTACATTTTGCATTTGGCATCACAGCTCTCTTGACCCATGTTGGACTTGAAGTAGTTCCTTCAAATAAATGTAAAATTTGTTTGCTGTCAGCAATTTAACAAAGATGACCAAAGTGTCGTATCACTTTGACTAATTATTGTAAAAATTACAAACAAGTAGACAAGAAAAAAACAAAATTGAAGTTTTCCCTACATAATCTATGAATAGCTCCAGTAACATTGAAAACATATTTTCATACATCTTTATTACGTGCGTATTTTTAAAACTTATTCATTTATTTATTAAAATTGTGCTGTATTATTGATCGTTAAATAGCATAATTTAAAAAAACATACTTGAAATAAAAATTGAACAATGTTGCGTTCCATTCCATTCTTAAAATCAAGTCATGCCAGTCCAACGGTGACAAAGATTCCAGCTGGTAGGCTTCCTGCGACAGTTGAAGTTTTCGTTAAATTACATTCCACTATCATAATTATAACACCTCAAACTGATTTAAGAGAGCATGCATCAATCACACACACACACACACACACACACACACACACACACACACACACACACACACACACACACACACACACACACACACACACACACACACACACACACACACACACACACATATATATATATATATATATATATATATATTTCAAATTAAAAATTTGAAATCAGCAGTAACTGAATTGACATCACAGTCAAAACCTTTTTTTAAAATTTAGTTAAAATTGTGTATGGGGTATCGCATAACTGCATATAATACGTAATACTATAACAGGATTAACATTAATGATACCTTTGCAGAATACTCCTTCACCCATATCGTCTGGTTGAGCGTATTTGAGAGAGTTATATTCATTATATAGGTTTCATGGTCTAACACAGACTGTCATAGAGTATAGAAATTAAAATGTGAAAATAACGAATGCCACTTCTATCATGTCAAAAATTTTACTTTAAACAAAAATACAAAATTTATGATAAAAACAAAAACATGTCGTAAAATAAACTGGAAGAGAGAGCCTTTGTTATAGGTTATTTTATATTTTGACATTAAAAATACTTATCGTTTTACAGTCTAATTGAATAAGCGATAGAATAGTGGTAATATAAAAAAAAACACGTGTAAATCACATGAACAACTGACCCAAGTGCTTTCATCGTGGAAACCATCGAGATGGAACACTCTGTAGCCTGGATTTATGTTTATGAAAGTGGTCAAACTTGGCGATAGGTAGGCGACAGATATGGGCTTGAGATTAACTTTTTTGTTTATTATATTTTCATTCCCTGACATTTTGAATCCATTGACAACAAAATTTTTGTTTATCAGATTGCCTTTACTGTCTGTTCTCATGGATGTAGGAGTGTTGATTTTATAAAGATCCAAGTCGTAAAATAACTGAAATGTATCGTAATGCAGATGACCAAAAAACTGGGCTGAGATTATTTTATGAAATCTGTGGAAAAGTGCAGTGATAATAGTTTCAAAAATTAAATGTATTCCCAGAATGATGCATGATAAATTTCCGTTCATTTCAAAATAGTACAACATGAAAAGTTTACCGATTGATGACTTTATAATAATTTCTGCTCCAGACTTGCATACATTCTGGCAGACCAGGAGCAATATGACCTATTATATGAACCTGCAAGCAATCAAATTAAATAACTTTGCAAGAAATTAATTTCAATGATTTCTTAACAGTTCTAGCGACGAATGAAAATGTAACAAAGTATGTTATTGAAATAATAACGAGACCTTCTCATTGTTATCTTCAGCTTCCTGCAAAACATCAACCAGCCACTTCATCTCTGAAGACGGATCGATTGGATTCAGCAGCAACCACCTAGCGACGACACACACGACAATTAGCTCAAATGTGGATGTTTGTTTATTAATAATTAAATAATAAAATAATTATAACCCATTCAAATTATTGCAGAAGTTCATGTTGAGTGAGACAATTCTGAACCCGGGGATCACTTGCATCGTGTAGTAGCCACCCCTAGGTGAAAAATAATTTATACAGTTACATAGATTTTATTATAAGAAATTTTTGTAAAATTGGTTTGTTAAAACAGGCCATATGGAATTCTGTATTTTTACTGTCGAAAATAAACTTACGAACATTTTAAAATTTTGAAATGATTCAACTAAGTAGGTACGCAATTGACAATTATTATCTTCAATGCTGTTACAATTGAATCGTAACCACGGAAAGGTCCATTGAAAAACTTCTATGAAAGATGTTATTAAGTGAGACTAGCCTGCTGAGAGTCTTTAGAGCGTCGGTGGTCAACCATTTTGAACTGATGTTCTTCATAGTTTCGTAGAGCCAACTCATCGGGTTCTCCTTGTCCTCGTTGGGTTTTGAACTGATGTTCTTCATAGTTTCGTAGAGCCAACTCATCGGGTTCTCCTTGTCCTCCATGTTTTTGGCAAAAGGAAAGCTAATGCGATAAATTTGTTATTATAAATTTAAATTTATACACTAACGAGGTTTACAACTGTCTCCTCCATACATCTTAAAAATAAAACTACTCCTTAAGAGTTGAAGTGACTTTAAAAATTCAATCGTATATAAATTTAATATTCAAAATAGTTTAGTTAATATAATTAACAGGAGAAAAAACGTTAACCTAAGTACTACGTGAAAATGATGATTTATAAAGAAAATAAAGAAAAATCGACATTTCTATCATTCAGTAATCCGATGTAACCATCAACGTAAGCAATTGTCGTACAATCAATGTAACCTGTTGACAGGGACTCCTTCGTGATTGCCCAGCGCAGGAAAAACGGGAATATTAGGGAAATATTTGTCAAAACGTTGTGCAATATAATGCAAAACTTTCAGCTGATCATCTCGAGTTTGGTTCCAAACATTGTGACTGAGGGAGTCACCCGTCCATAATATGTAATCAAACTGCAAAAAATTAGTCGATACATGTTTTTTGAAATGCCGACAAAAATAACATTAGTGTATAGTGATAACAAAAAAAATTTAAAAAAATCTTAAATTTTGCATCCATTCGTACGACGGGCAATTATTTTTTAACTTTTTTTTCAATCTATCTACACTGAACAGGATATGATCACTAAGAAAGCTTCTTAAAATAAGTTTCAATTTTGTGCTACTCGCTTTGTTACCATTTTTTTGACAACATCAAACATATTAAGATCAGCCATGTTTGTCATTTCAAAAAGAAATTGTTAAAACCACACTCGTTAAAATTTCTTTGTCAACAAGGCTGTTTGAGACGTACTAATTACAAATTTAGATCCCATTTTTCAATGACAGTTTACTTCTATTTTTGAAATATTTTTTGAAGAATTTCAGTGCTCATGTGGCAAAACTACGACAATGATGATTGCGATAATAATGATGATGATTTATTTGCTTTTCATATTTAATGTAAGCCTTAATGTTCTCAAACACAGCTAGCCTTTACTATGTATGCATTGCACTTCCTTCTATTCGTCAAAATTTGTTGCTCTTTTTTATGCTTATCAGTAGAATTTAACAACAAGTTTCGGAACTTTTCGTTTTGTAAGGCCATTGGTTCGTCAGTTATAAAATGCAAACTTTGATCAAATTTGGAAAGAAAAGAAATGAATTTTGAAGGCGTAATTTTTCCAGCGTGGAGTTCTAAAGTTGGAAAAGAACGCGGCGTAGGAGGACATCACAAAGTATAAACTACTTACTTATAATATAAATAACAAACAATTCGTCTTGAGTTTCAACTCACTGGGCACCCATTTTTGTTATTGTAACATCTGACCCAAAAAGTTCACTGCATGAAGATAATAAATAAAATGAACTGTTTATTTATAAAAAGATGATTACATTTATTGAACTTTCAACTCATATGATATATGATATCTTGTGATTATATGATATCATATCATGAAGATCAATGGTTTCAATCCATTGTCTATAGATATTTTCAATCTTTTTAGTTGTTGCTTGTTACTCTTGTGTCAAGTGCTACAAAATGATTTGAAAACATTGAACTTATTGGCAGTAGTTCCAAATATAATTACACATAGGTGAGCCACAGTTCAAAGCTGCACAGCTGGAATGCCAGTTGATCAATAAGCATTTAGTTTGTAAATCATTTGATGATTTAACTTATCAGCTTAATATTTCAGCTTCAAATTGTCATAAAATTAAATACAATTTAATAAACCATTTGTAGAAGATTTTTGTTTATCTAGCACTTAGCTTCCCTTTTAGTCAACTGTTTAAGATAAATGGTAAACTTTTTGCCAGCTACAAATGTTATTTTTGCCATTTGCTCATTTTTTTTTATCTACATTTCACTAGGATGTCGTTTCAACTTTTTTGAAAATTCTGAATAATTTCGTGTTTGATTTTTATTACATAATTTACAGTCCAACCAAATGAGCCAATAAAAATTTTAAAAAGTTTGAAATAATTGAATTTATGAAAAAGTTTAAATCTAAAAAAAAGTATTTCAAAAAATTAAAAAATTAACAACAAACCTTTTCTTTTGAAAGCTTGTTAAACAAATCATCCACTGTCCACGTTGGCATATCACAGGCTCCCAAACTTGCCCAATATCCAGCCATGTTAGATGGTTCTAAAGACCGTGTGATGATCAATTAATTTTAGATACTACTAAAAAAAAATTCCTATTCTTGAAACTGTGGTCAAAACACATATAAATAAAATATATTAACAGTTGAAAGATAACTCAGATATTGTGATTAGAATTCCTATATAAAAACTTGGACGAGAATATAAATCACCTGTCGGTTGGCCATTTCTGCAACACAGAGGATCATTGCAGTTAATAGCTGATTGTGGTTTGTATAGGAAATCTATGTGAATGTCTGTCAACTGCAGAACTTTTAGTTTAGGAGTTGGTTTGGTCTTCAAACAAAATTATGATTATTTAAAAACATAATGAAACGTGAAATAACAAAGCATAAGAAGAAACAAAAGAAATTACCATTGGCAAATTTTTTTCAGCAGTTCTATCATGGGATGGTACTGGAAGATCGACATCCCACTGAAAATATTTACTCTCTTTTCTAGTACAATTTTTAGTTAAGAGGACCTCACAGACCTCCAGCGGTGAAATGGTAATATTGGAAAGTACCTCGAACACTTCATTCTTGTAAGTTGCATTTTAAATATTTATGATGATGACATGCTTTAAAAAATTGAGTTGTCAACATTTTGTGATACCCTTACAAATATGCATTTAAATGTAAAATAAAAGTTTACATTTATTTTTATTCATTGATACTAAATCACATTTAACAAATAAATCAAATCTTAGTCAAAGTTTAGTGATCGCATTTGAATTTAGCTAAAAGAAAAGGTTTGTGCTAACAGCATCTTGGGATAAGCAAGAAAAAAAAGTGAAATACAGCTGTATTACCTATGTTAGACTCAGAAGTGTCTATGTAATTTTGAAATAAATTGTGAACAATATATTGAAAAGGTTGATAAGCTTAAATTTAAATTAAAAGAATGCAAATTTAAAAATGCAATTTAAGATTTACAACAAAGATCTCAGCATTAGGAAAGAGGAAATAATTATGTTTGCATCATGAAATGAGTTGGCATATGATTTTAAATGGAGATAGAGATGGTTTGGATTCGAACAGGAAAAAAGTTAAGTTTAAAAATAATTTCTAGGTGAAAAATTAAGGATTGATTTTTTTCTATATCTCTAAGTAAGAAGAATGAATTAAATTAATTATTAAAGCCCTAACCTTAAACATAGAAACAACTCCATGGCACACATCATGGCTGCCCTGGTTGAAGAGTACACAACCACTTGTAACTATATTTGAAATTACATTCTTTGGTACTTTAGCTTTCATCAAAGTCTTTATTAATCCCACAGCTAGTTTGCAATTCAAGCATTCAAAATATTCAGCAATTGAAGCCTCTTCTTTTGCAATCAAATTGTCAGATCGGTAGGACAGTTTTGTTGATTCTTCAAAATGAACAACTGATTTCTTTATTTCCGTTGTAGCTGTATCATCTTTTTCTTTGAAAATTTTTTTGGGCTGCTTCTTCATATAAAAAACAGCATCATCATTGTTTGCTATGTCACTTTTGAAGATCATCCTACATTTGACACCAATTGTAACGAATAATAAGAATATAAAAACGAATGTTCGCAAATCCATCGTAAAATATTTTTTTTAATGCAAAAATATGCAAAATGTTAACGAACACACACACGCACACAATCAGATCAGGGGTTCATAATAACAACATCATATGCTTTAAAAACCTGGGTTTTTATAGTCTCCGGTAATTCCAGGTTGCTCTCAGTTTCAGTGATGTGCCCATTAATAAACTAAAATTATTCCATAGCGATACTAAATAAAATACTAAATAATGATTCGAACTGATAAAATTCATTTTATTATTTTACAATTATTTTTTACAATTTTTTGAATAAAAACAAAAAATAATAACTAAGTTATTTTGACTGAAATTAAAATTTTGTTGTTTAATTTCAATATTGATACCCACGGATATGATATATATCCATGTTGAAACCCTTCCTATCATGTTTGATATCCTTATTCTATATAATTTCTTGATATTATAATAGATTGATACTGATCTATCTGGCAGTAGTGGTAAAATGATCGGGTGATCTTTTGCGAGTTTTTTTTACCACACAATAAGTTACGATTGGTTTGTCTGTGTCATTGTTGTGAAATTAAATTGATTTAAATGATATTCTATTTTTGTGACATTTGGTTCGCCCTAAAACTTTATTCATCATTATAAAGTTATTAAGGCTAAGCACCAAGCCAAGCCAAACCCTAAATGAACCGGAATACAGCCAGTAAACACTCAGACTGAAGGAAATTACCGTTATGTAAAGAATTAAATGATATAGGTATCTATCAAACGTTGTCAATTATTCAGGGGTTCCTACTATCATTCTCATGCTTCTGAGATTAAGTTTTATTTATATCCAATAAAAAACTACCAGCTTTATTCACTATACAAACTATAGTTCGTGTTCAATATAATATAATGATAACTAAACTATTTCGTCGATTCACGTTACTATTTAACAAAAACGTCGGGGTTACCATTATTTACATTTTCCTGTTCAGGCGATTAAGTACTACATGATAGAGTCCCAAGCAGAGAAAATTTTCCAAACCGCAACCATCTGCACCGCATACCGAGTTCACGTCCGCAACCGCCCGCATCCGCACTGCTCATTATCCGCGCATCCGCACTGCATCCGCGAAAAGGCAACTAAATAAGCTTTTGAGGATAAATATTTATGCGTGATGCATGTATGTCGGAGGTGAGCAAACTTTTTGCTGTGAGGGCTGCATTGGGAATTATCCATCCATCCATCCGTCCGTCCGTCCGTCCGTCCGTACGTTCGTTCGTTCATTCATTCATCCATTATTTCAAGTTGAATGTTTTCGTACAACTGGCACAATTTACAGTTTTAATTCTAAACAAATTTCTATATAACAAAATAGTCCCTTTAATTTAAATTTAAATTTCTGTCCATGATTATGAAACGTTAAACTTAATGAATTTATTTTTAATTTGGTTATAAATAAAATAATATGAATTCTTAAAACAAAAATTAAACTAAAAAGCTCAATAACGTTAATGACAGTATCGTTTTCAACAAGTTATGTTTATAAGGACAGCTGACGACATTCTACTTGTATATATTTTCCTGTATGTATTTGTACGTTTGTGTGTGTGCTGTGTTGTGTTGTACCGTTGTTTGTATGTTTGTGTATGTTATAAATATAATAAACGTGCACGCGTATGTACAAATGCTAATGTAACCTACGTTTGAGAGTATTTGCGCTCAAAAATGCAACCAAGAAAAACATAGAGAACACACAAGTGAAGAAGAAACTTATTTGAACGGCATTTAGTGAGAAGCCCGCTCGCCACGTCAAGGCCGCCGTTCACGAAGGGGATAATAAAAAGATAAAAGATCCCTATCAGAAAGCTTAGCGTTGTATGCACTTCAAATTGTTTAGTTATATAAATAATCCTAACTATCTACTTATTAAATTATCTAACTTGTGACACCTTAGAGTATATAACCGTCGTGTTTATGTTAGCGCGTTACAGATTTCAGACCCCTTCAAATCAAACATACCCTGCTCACAAGGTAGGAGTTTAGAATGCAGAAATAGGCAGGTAGGACGCACCTTTCACCGAACCAACTCTGCTGTCCGATCATCCTAATCACCTGTGACTGCATGCTGAAATCCAGAGCCATCCGTCTGTAACGCACCCTTAACTTACCTACTCATTACAATTATCCCTAACTTATTCAAGCTACAAAACTCAAGAGCCCAATTCAATCACCATTTGGCACCCGCCCCACCACCTACATTTGCTTTGGACTCCAACTTAATAACAATAATGTAAAACTTGATTCAAAACTTACCTATAGATACACTTACATTGTTTCTATCATTACATTATTGCACTTAACTGCTTATTTTATTAAATTATTCTCAGCCTTAATAAATTTAAATAATGTGTTATGAAAATAAAATTACGCTCAACTAATGTAATGAATGTATGTATTTACATATGCATGTGTGTTTTGTGCAAAACGCATGTGTGTGCTGCAAGTGCAAGAAAATAAAGAAGAAAGAAAAAACTTACGCTGTCTACCTATTTAACTATATTAATGTTGTATGTTTTCTATCTATCCTACCTACAATTAAAATTATCCCTATCTAACTTAATTAACAAATCTTAATGTAATGTGTGTGTGTGTGTGTTTGTGTGTGAGTATTTGTGTTGAATAACGCTTCTCAAAAATAAACATTAATATCGGTAAAATAAACGAATAAGTCTAGAAATAAAACGTAACTTGATTAAAATAAGATATAACGAAATTTAACTAAAATAAAACGAAATTAATATTGTGTTGATTGTAGTGTTTGATTGATTAGTGTTGTGTTGAACAAAAACAAACAAAACTATACAATACAATACATATAAACTAGAAAGTAAGTATGAAAGAATAGAGTTCCTAACTTACCTATGTTCACTAAATTAACTCGCCTAACAGTGTTCAATTAGCTTAGCTTACGGATTAATTCTACCTATTTGTACGATTACGAAGAAAAAAGTAAGGAAAAGAGGATAAAACACCAAGCAAACAAAACAACGAATGTATGTTTGTATGTATGTGTGTGTGTATGTATGTATGTGTGTGTTTGCGTGAGTGCAAACTCTATATAACTGCGCAATAAAACTCTATATAACTCGATATAACCGCGCAATAATAATATCGGTAAAATAAACGAACAATGCACCAAAATATTTATCCACATCAGTTTCAAAACGATCAACCACGTGTGCAACATCAGAATAATGTAACATCTCTAAAAACCATCGAATTACACAAATGTGTGAGAAACTTGAAGTGGAAGAAAATATAATCAATTCTTCACTGCAAGAGATTGTTGAAAAATTACTCAGAGAATGTTTACCATCAGGGTTTTTAATAAATATCATTGTTGATGTTCTGGTTGTTTACAAAATGAAAGTTGAAAGTGAACCAACCGTTGATGCTGCCATTAAAATTTTTCAGGACGAAACTTTTAAAATATATGTCAAGGGACAACAGATATCTGATTCAAAATTTTCTGATATTGTCAATGTCAAGTTAAGTAAAGTATCAGATATAACAAACATAATGTCTAGACTAAATCATTTTTTAGAAAATGCTGTCGAACTGATAATTTTTTTTGTAAGGAATGCTAAAAAGACAATCGATAACAAATGATGAACCAGCTTTTTCACCAAAATATCTTGAACAAGTCAATCGAGGTGGTTTGCTCACTCCAACCGAATATGCCTGGAAGACATGTGTGAGGATGTTTGGTTTATTTAAAAACATTAGAGAGTCTAATGACCTATTTAATAAATTTATTGAGGCAAGGAACCAATCGGTGTTATTTCATAAAATAACTGAACGATCATTAAATGAAAACAAACTTTTTTGTGATAATAACCATGATATGCAATTGTATTTATCTAAATTTCTTTTTAATTGTTTTAGTAAAAAATTTTTTTAAATATTTTTCTGATGTTAATAATGTGCAGAATGTAAATAGTAAAATAAAAAAATTACAAAAATAAGATTGTTGATTGTTAAACGCTATATATGCGCTGCACATGTACAAAGCACGTTGTACAATACATGGATTGTAAAATGATTGCCTTCGCTGGTCCGTCGCTAAAATGTTGGCCATCCTGGTATATTATACAGATGTCCATGTTTTATAGGTAGTGCGCTAGTAGCTCGGTGAAGATATCTTATCAATTTGAAATATTTGATTTACATGACAGAAGTTTATAAAATTGACGAGTTAGTTTGAATATTAAATCTGTTTATATTACACACACACACACACACACACATATATATATATATATATAAGATATATATATATATATATAAGATATATATATATATACATATATATATCTTGTCCGATTGAACAAGATCGCGAGCAGCGACTGCTCCATCTCTCTCTCGAATTAGAAGTTAAAAGGAAGGTAGTTCTAGATTTGTCCAATCAACATATATATATGTATATATATATTTACATATATATGTACATATAGTGTACACACACATATATATATATATATATACATATAAATAGTGTATATAAGTATAAATATACTTTTTTTAAATTTTCAATCAGGTCTATGAGAAAATTGTAGTTATATAAATAATTGAATTTTGATACATATGTATAATATTGATACATATATACATATATATTTATGAAAGTATAATACATATATTATATATATATATATAAGTATAAATAAACTTTTTAAAAATATATATATATATATAATATATATATATATATATTTAAAAGATGTATGTTTATTTATTCATTTCGTTCTTATGAATAGGATAGAATAGAAGAATGGATAGATATGCAGATAGTTACTTGCATATTGTAAGTTACGAGACGTATAAATACACGTTATGCTTATATGAAGCAAATGAGTGCGTAATAGAAAT